GAAATAGGGAGTAGTTAATATTCTAAGAGTGCTTATTGTTTATGTTTATTATTATATCGTTCATTACCGAATGTTGTAGAACAATATTTGTATGAGTTTTGAAAATGAAATAAAATAATTATTAATATTTGTGAATGGAGTTGAAGAGCCGCATCTCGACCCCAAAAGAGCCGTATGCGGCTCGCGAGCCGCAGGCTAGCCCAGGGGTCGGCAATCTTTTGAGACAGAAGAGCCAAAAGTTACAATTTACAAAATTTCCCACCTTTTAAAGAGCCACTAACATTTTAATTTCAATATTATGATCTTTGATTAGGATTAGGTATACATATATATATATATATATACATATATATATATATATATATATATATATATATATATATATATATATATATATATATATATATATATATATATATATTTATATTTATATATATATTTATATATAGATTTATATATATAGATTTATATATATAGATTTATATATATAGATTTATATATATAGATTTATATATATAGATTTATGTATATATATATATATTATATATATATATATATATATATATATATATATATATATATATATATATATATATATATATATTTATATATATATAGGTGTTTGTGTGTGTCTGATTGTCTTGTATTCATTACTACACCTTTCATCCGATCGCCATGAAACTATAAGTTGTTGAGAATACTCCTGGGGAGGTATCTGCAAAAACAAAGTCAAATTCGCAGGGGTGGCGCCTCGGCAGGGCGCAATTCGGTTTATAAAATTAAAAGTCGATTGCGGATTGGCACCGTTAATCCGATCACCATGGAACTCTGAAGAGTAGATGAGAATACTCCCGAGAATATTTCTGCGAAAAAAAATTCTTATCGGCAGCGCCCGGGAGGGTGCGATTTTTGTCAATACATGGTTTGGCGCCTAAAGTTCCAGAGCGGGTATGTTAGCATTTGGCACCCTTTAATCTGGCGCCCTACATAGCCGGTAAAGGGTACTACTATATTCAGTGGCAAAATTGCAACAGGCGCAGCCGCCAGCACCTCGTCGATTGCGCGACCCGAAGAGCCTCGGGCTCACATGTGAGCACTATGGCGCCTGCGTTCGTTTTTTAAAAAAAAAGGCTATACACTAAAAACATGATGGGCAACAGTAATCATTGACAATCTAATCAGGCGAGTCATCCGACGCATTTACCCGTGAGCACCATGTCGACTACGTTCATTTTTGATACAATGGGTTGCTATAGTCGCTCACTAAATCAAATCAGGCGCGTCCTGCGGCGTCTCTGCAGTATAAGATTCGGCGCCCCGGGCTACACCCTAAGCGCTGTAGCGCCTACGTTACTTTAAGGAGCACCCTTCAATATTGTTAATGCGGCACACGATATTCGATGATCAAACCGTGCCTGGGGCTGTACGTGGCGCCCCTGCGATTTTGTAATCGGGTTCACAAGAGTGCCACTCTCTGTCCACGACACTTAAGCGTTGAGTGATTAAAGGTGATATCACGGTGAGTGAATAACTTACACTCAAGGCTTTCATACAGCATATATGGCTTGCTGGGCGGAAGTGTAGATAAATCCGTGCCCCGATAAATGTGATCAAAGCACAGGGATTGTTTACATTTAAATAACTCAGTTTTAGAAAACAAGGAAGTGCATTGAAAAATGGAGTAACTAATTATTGTAATAGAATAGCGAGTATTTATTGAGTATTTATTGTCTATATTTATTATTAAATCGTTCAGTACCGAGTGTTGTAAACTTTTTTTTTTTGAGTTAAAAAAATAATTATTATTAATATTTGTGCATGGAGCTGAAGAGCCGCACCTTGTCATCGAAAGAGCCGCATGCGGCTCGCGAGCCGCAGGTTGCCGACCCCTGCCATACACAAGTGTTGTGTTTGGGTGACACTCACATGAATGTGAGTGGTATGAGTTTTGAATTTTTCAAAAGTCCAATCCTGTTGAATATTTTGTTTATTTTCAGGTGAACCTTAATTAAAGGTGGTTTTTGATTATATGTAATCTTTTATGATAATATGTCTCATATGACTCAGTTGATATTGTAGCTAGTCATTGAAATAAAGGTCTTACCTTGGCGGGTTTACCACTTTTAATGGAAATATTGTAATACCCTTTTTTGAGGGATTTTGATGTATAATTATTTGTTGAAGGGTTACTCCCCTTTCACCAATTGTAAAAGTTTGAGTTACTTCCCTTTTATGTTCAGGGATATTTTCATCTGGTATTAAGATTTTGATTGCCTACATTTGTAAGACATCTTTTTTTATTTTCATTGCCAGATTGGTTCCTTATGTATGTTTTTGTGGAACCTATCTGTCACTTCCAAAAAGGGAGGGGATGTGACCTACTTAGGTCCAGTAATGTTTTATTTTGACATTGTATACTTCCTTATATGGATTGATGGTGCAACTACCGGGGTTTTTCCACTGTCTTATTAAGGGTGTCTAAGACTAAAAAATTTTCCATCAAGATCTGATTGATTGATTCAGATCAGATGACTACCCCAACCAATGGCTACATGAGTTGAGGATAACCTCCCATGTGGCCTAAGTCTTTAACTAGATCGCACACACGCGACACGAGGCAGTCTACCTTGATCAAACGGTCTATTAAGACCAGGCCGTCCATTTTGTCCGGCAATAGATTCTGACCATTTGAACGTGAGAGAACTTAAGTCCTGAGTGTGCTATGCTTTCTTAAGTTGTTTTAGTCTTCTAGTATAATATTACTTGTCGCCAAGTGATTCTTGAAGCTATAGCAGTGTTGTGTGACCTGTGGCTATTTTTATACAGTGTTAAAATCTGTGATAGTATTTTTTCTTACGCTTTGTAAGTTGGGTTTTGTTATTTTCTAAATTAAATACTTTATCTCGTTTAACCTAGTGTTCTGCCACAACTGTGTTCGCTTATTAAAGGTTGTATGCAGATTGAATGAGTTGTTAACTTCAATAGTATCACTAGTTTTCCCTAGACATCGAAACCGAGCCCTAGTGTGTTGTTGAGTTAGTGTTCATTCATTTAGGCTTTAAGTCATTTGCATATAACCCCGAAAAAGAATCCGGGGACGTTCACCATCTATCTGGCTGGTAGATAGGTAAACGTTACAATTGTAAAAGTTGTATAAGTTGAGCTAATATGTTGCGGCCTGTCCTGCGTGCTAGGAATGATTGAATTAGACATACGATAACTCAACACAAAGTTAAAATTAAGTTATACATAGAATGATTTAAAACTAAAAATAACGACCCTAGGTTCGATTTGAGTAAGACTATACGATTTTCATTTTTTAACTACCAAAATTATCTTTTTCGTAATGCATTATAGTAGAGGGTTAAATCTAAAAATCGAGAAAAACGGTATCGCTAATGTTTTGTCTCTATATCCTTTGATATTTAGATCAATTAAAATAAGAAAATATTCAGACTTAAAATTTGAATTTAGTGTGAGTCTGTACATTTTTAATGATATTTTGAACTTCCACGAATGTTTTTACTTTCTTCTTCAGACGTTCACAAGCTGTAAAACCCGACTAACTATATAGACCCCGTAGGCCTAAGTATTAGCGATTTCGATACTACCTTTCTCCACTTTCGTATTCCGCTATATTTGTATTATATTATTAGGTCATTAATTCTATTTAAAATGTAAAATAAAGATGTATCTAAACTGTCTTAAACATTATAAGCCAAAGGTGGACATTATTAATTGAACAGTGGTTGATTGAATTCACCAAGTAGACTGCGGGATGCAAATCTTATTAATATAAGAAATATGAGTTAAAAACACAACATTTTTCGAGTGTGTTAATTCTATTGTAACAAGCTGAATGTGTACACTGATAGTCTTCATTTATTTCATATCCCATTAGTGTATCTTGCTAAAGAATAAAACATACCATTGTAAACACAGGCCTATATTTATTTGCTTGATACCCACACACACTCAAATAACGATTGTATAAGAAGGGGGGGGGGACTTTCTGAGTTAAAGACCTTTGAGTCGGGTGCTAATTGAGTTGCTTTTGTTAAGTTAGTGTGATTGATTTTTTCAAATACTACATCTAAAAATGAAGTTGAAAGTATGTAAAGTATGGTTGATAAGTTAGCTATGTATTCCTGGGGTACCTTTTGCTTTTATAAACATGGTACGGAATTAAATCTGCCCTTCATCGTCCACAATAAAGTCACTCTTTTTTACACACATTCCCCTCCCCATCCATAGCTCATTGTTGCCAGACACACATTCCCCTCCCCATCCATAGCTTATCCTCATGGTTGCCAGACATTTTTTCAGACCCCGTATCCCCAAGCTTTTGTCAAATGTTATCACAACTGGACAGTGTGGTCTAGTATGTAGTATATGTAGTACGCCCGCTAACTAAACTGATAGATCGGTACCCGGCCTGGTGACCGTAGGTCATCCCACAACCAAACTGTCCCTCACGTTCAAAACCAGGTGGCAAGATGTCATATTTAAAACTGAAGGTACTCTATGCAGTTGTAAATGCATTAAAAAATACTTATTTGTAAATTTTTATAATTGTGCGCCTACGCAGAGCTATTTCCCTTCGCCTTTTTTCTATACCCTCGATTTGACCAATTTTTGCTTTCGTTTTCCATAGGCTTAGTTGTCCCCGCAATTTTTACACTAAAACCGTCATATCTAGAGAACCGTTTATCCTATAAACATAAATTTGGTATCATTTTGCAACATTTAGTCCCCTTAATACAACCCCGTCGTTATTTTGTCATTTTAATTATTTAAAAAATTGTGTGCAACTAACTACTCTGTAGTGATGAGTTTTTCTCTGTAGTGTCTTCATCTGTCTACATAGATGCCAATATAAAATCTCTCCCAGGCTATTGTGAAGAGTTTAGAAAAAAATTCTTCTCTCTTAGGTCATGGTAAAGCTAAAGAGTTTAGAAAAAAATTCCTAAAGAGTTTAGAAAAAAATTCTCCTCTTTTAGGTCATGGTAAAGCTAAAGAGTTTAGAAAATGGAAATTGGTGGCTTCTTCAGCGCAACAATTTCATCAACAGAAAGTACATGATGCAAGAGATGTATCAAAACTACATAGAAGGGGAGGTCAACTGGGACCTACCAAAGGTAAGGGAGGTCAACTGGGACCTACCAAAGGTAAGGGAGGTCAACTGGGACCTACCAAAGGTAAGGGAGGTCAACTGGGACCTACCAAAGGTAAGGGAGGTCAACTGGGACCTACCAAAGGTAAGGGAGGTCAACTGGGACCTACCAAAGGTAAGGCGAGGTCAACTGGGACCTACCAAAGGTAAGGGAGGTCAACTGGGACCTACCAAAGGTAAGGGAGGTCAACTGGGACCTACCAAAGGTAAGGGAGGTCAACTGGGACCTACCAAAGGTAAGGGAGGTCAACTGGGACCTACCAAAGGTAAGGGAGGTCAACTGGGACCTACCAAAGGTAAGGGAGGTCAACTGGGACCTACCAAAGGTAAGGGAGGTCAACTGGGACCTACCAAAGGTAGAGGCTGTCTGGTAGTGGCCTTCATTAGATGAGAGAAAAATGTCCTAAAATTAATGAATTATTCATTAGATGAGAGAAAAATGTCCTGAAATTAATGAATTATTCATTAGATGAGAGAAAAATGTCCTGAAATTAATGAATTATTCATTAGATGAGAGAAAAATGTCATGAAATTAATGATTTATTCATTAGATGAGAGAAAAATGTCCTGAAATTTTGTAATGTTTTCTTGTATGTTCATGTTTAGGATAAAGACCCATTTTGGGAATTGCATACAACCCCAGTGTTAATAGGAGTGGCATATGTTTACTTACAACCCATTGCTTATCTTATTGGAATGGATGAGAGCTTGACCATCATGGATTTAAAAGGGAAAGAAACAGGTACATTATTGATAACAGTTTGTTTATTTTAGTGTCACCACTGTAGTGTATGTGTCACCACTGTAGTGTATGTGTTTGTGTCACCACTGTACTGAATGTGTTTGTGTCACCACTGTAGTGTATGTGTTTGTGTCACCACTGTAGTGTATGTGTTTGTGTCACCACTGTAGTGTATGTGTCACCACTGTATTGTATGTGTTTGTGTCACCATTGTACTGAATGTGTTTGTGTCACCACTGTAGTGTATGTGTTTGTGTCACCACTGTATTGTATGTGTTTGTGTCACCACTGTAGTGTATGTTTGTGTCACCACTGTAGTGTATGTGTCACCACTGTATTGTATGTGTTTGTGTCACCACTGTACTGAATGTGTTTGTGTCACCACTGTAGTGTATGTGTTTGTGTCACCACTGTATTGTATGTGTTTGTGTCACCACTGTACTGAATGTGTTTGTGTCACCACTGTAGTGTATGTGTTTGTGTCACCACTGTAGTGTATGTGTCACCACTGTATTGTATGTGTTTGTGTCACCACTGTACTGAATGTGTTTGTGTCACCACTGTAGTGTATGTGTTTGTGTCACCACTGTAGAGTATGTGTCACCACTGTAGTGTTTATTTTTGTCACCACTGTATTGTATGTGTTTGTGTCACCACTGTACTAAATGTGTTTGTGTCACCACTGTTGTGTATATGTCACCACTGTAGTGTATGTGTTTGTGTCACCACTGTAGTTTTTGTGTCACCATTGTAGTGTATGTGTCACCACTGTAGTGTATGTGTATGTGTCACCACTGTAGTGTATGTGTCACCACTGTTGTGTCACCACTGTATTGTATGATCTCCTACTTGCAGGCCATCTACTGGTGGAGTTAATTCCCTGTGATGAGAAGTGGATAACCCTGAAAGATGACGTGTACGTGGAAGACCCAAAAGATCTGGTAAACATACACATACACGTTGATGGTAAACATACACATACACGTTGATGGTAAACATACACATACACGTTGATGGTAAACATACACATACACGTTGATGGTAAACATACACATACACGTTGATGGTAAACATACACATACACGTTGATGGTAAACATACACATACACGTTGATGGTAAACATACACATACACGTTGATGGTAAACATACACATACACGTTGATGGTAAACATACACATACACGTTGATGGTAAACATACACATACACGTTGATGGTAAACATACACATACACGTTGATGGTAAACATACACATACACGTTGATGGTAAACATACACATACACGTTGATGGTAAACATACACATACACGTTGATGGTAAACATACACATACACGTTGATGGTAAACATACACATACACGTTGATGGTAAACATACACATACACGTTGATGGTAAACATACAAGCCACATACACGTTGATGGTAAACATACACATACACGTTGATGGTAAACATACACATACACGTTGATGGTAAACATACACATACACGTTGATGGTAAACATACACATACACGTTGATGGTAAACATACAAGCCACATACACGTTGATGGTAAACATACAAGCCACATACACGTTGATGGTAAACATACACATACACGTTGATGGTAAACATACACATACACGTTGATGGTAAACATACACATACACGTTGATGGTAAACATACACATACACGTTGATGGTAAACATACACATACACGTTGATGGTAAACATACACATACACGTTGATGGTAAACATACACATACACGTTGATGGTAAACATACACATACACGTTGATGGTAAACATACACATACACGTTGATGGTAAACATACAAGCCACATACACGTTGATGGTAAACATACACATACACGTTGATGGTAAACATACAAGCCACATACACGTTGATGGTAAACATACAAGCCACATACACGTTGATGGTAAACATACAAGCCACATACACGTTGATGGTAAACATACAAGCCACATACACGTTGATGGTAAACATACAGACATACAAACAACATACATGTTGATGGTAAATATACAGACATACAAGCCACATACACGTTGATGGTAAACATACAGACATACAAACAACATACATGTTGATGGTAAATATACAGACATACAAGCCACATACACGTTGATGGTAAACATACACATACACGTTGATGGTAAACATACAAGCCACATATACGTTGATGGTAAACATACACATACACGTTGATGGTAAACATACAAGCCACATACACGTTGATGGTAAACATACACATACACGTTGATGGTAAACATACAAGCCACATACACGTTGATGGTAAACATACAGACATACAAACAACATACACGTTGATGGTAAACATACACATACACGTTGATGGTAAACATACACATACACGTTGATGGTAAACATACACATACACGTTGATGGTAAACATACAGACATACAAACAACATACATGTTGATGGTAAATATACAGACATACAAGCCACATACACGTTGATGGTAAACATACAGACATACAAACAACATACATGTTGATGGTAAATATACAGACATACAAGCCACATAAACGTTGATGGTAAACATACACATACACGTTGATGGTAAACATACACATACACGTTGATGGTAAACATACAAGCCACGTACACGTTGATGGTAAACATACACATACACGTTGATGGTAAACATACAAGCCACATACACGTTGATGGTAAACATACACATACACGTTGATGGTAAACATACAAGCCACATATACGTTGATGGTAAACATACAAGCCACATACACGTTGATGGTAAACATACAAGCCACATATACGTTGATGGTAAACATACAGACATACAAACAACATACATGTGGATGGTAAATATACAGACATACAAGCCACATACACGTTGATGGTAAACATACAAGCCACATATACGTTGATGGTAAACATACAAGCCACATAAACGTTGATGGTAAACATACAAGCCACATATACGTTGATGGTAAACATACAAGCCACATATACGTTGATGGTAAACATACAAGCCACATATACGTTGATGGTAAACATACAGACATACAAACAACATACATGTTGATGGTAAATATACAGACATACAAACAACATACACTTTGATGGTAAACATACAGACATACAAACAACATACATGTTGATGGTAAATATACAGACATACAAGCCACATAAACGTTGATGGTAAAAATACACATACACGTTGATGGTAAACATACACATACACGTTGATGGTAAACATACAAGCCACGTACACGTTGATGGTAAACATACAAGCCACGTACACGTTGATGGTAAACATACACATACACGTTGATGGTAAACATACAAGCCACATACACGTTGATGGTAAACATACACATACACGTTGATGGTAAACATACAAGCCACATATACGTTGATGGTAAACATACAAGCCACATACACGTTGATGGTAAACATACAAGCCACATATACGTTGATGGTAAACATACAGACATACAAACAACATACATGTCGATGGTAAATATACAGACATACAAGCCACATACACGTTGATGGTAAACATACAAGCCACATATACGTTGATGGTAAACATACAAGCCACATATACGTTGATGGTAAACATACAAGCCACATATACGTTGATGGTAAACATACAAGCCACATATACGTTGATGGTAAACATACAAGCCACATATACGTTGATGGTAAACATACAGACATACAAACAACATACATGTTGATGGTAAATATACAGACATACAAACAACATACACTTTGATGGTAAACATACAGACATACAAACAACATACATGTTGATGGTAAATATACAGACATACAAGCCACATAAACGTTGATGGTAAAAATACAGACATACAAACAACATACATGTTGATGGTAAATATACAGACATACAAACCACATACATGTTGATGGTAAACATACAGACATACAAACCACATACACGTTGATGGTAAACAATCTTGTAAACATACTTCTACCATCCTATGAATTCCAAGCACACATGTGAGACCTGTCTATTGTTAGAATTATTTTTAAAACTGATACAGTAAAACTGATACAGTAAAACTGATACAGTAAAACTGATACAGTAAAACTGATACAGTAAACCTGATTAATTGAAGAAAACAGACCATCAGAATTGTAATTTGACTCATCTCAATGACACACATTGCAGAAAGGCAAACCACTGTACTTTAATTTAACTCATCTCATTGACACATTGCAGAAAGGCAAACCACTGTACTTCAAGATAAAAATCAAAGGGGCCAGAGGGATACCAGCCAATTTTGAAGTGGTAAGTTGTGTCTGTTGATGTGTCTGTTGGTATGTCTGTTGGTGTGTCTGTTGGTGTGTCTGTTGGTGTGTCTGTTGGTGTGTCTGTTGGTGTGTCTGTTGGTGTGTCTGTTGGTGTGTCTGTTGGTGTGTCTGTTGGTGTGTCTGTTGATTTGGTCACAGCTCCCTGATGGGTGTGTCTGTTGATTTGGTCACAGCTTCCTGATGTGTCTGTTGGTGTGTCTGTTGATTTGGTCACAGCTCCCTGATGGGTGTGTCTGTTGATTTGGTCACAGCTCCCTGATGGGTGTGTCTGTTGATTTGGTCACAGCTCCCTGATGAGTGTGTCTGTGTGTCTGTTGATTTGGTCACAGCTCCCTGATGGGTGTGTCTGTTGATTTGGTCACAGCTCCCTGATGGGTGTGTCTGTTAATTTGGTCACAGCTCCCTGATGGGTGTGTCTGTTGGTGTGTCTGTTGGTGTGTCTGTTGATTTGGTCACAGCTCCCTGATGGGTGTGTCTGTTGGTGTGTCTGTTGGTGTGTCTGTTGATTTGGTCACAGCTCCCTGATGGGTGTGTCTGTTGATTTGGTCACAGCTTCCTGATGGGTGTGTCTGTTGATTTGGTCACAGCTCCCTGATGGGTGTGTCTGTTGGTGTGTCTGTTGGTGTGTCTGTTGATTTGGTCACAGCTCCCTGATGGGTGTGTCTGTTGATTTGGTCACAGCTCCCTGATGGGTGTGTCTGTTGATTTGGTCACAGCTTCCTGATGGGTGTGTCTGTTAATTTGGTCACAGCTCCCTGATGGGTGTGTCTGTTAATTTGGTCACAGCTTCCTGATGTGTCTGTTGGTGTGTCTGTTGATTTGGTCACAGCTCCCTGATGGGTGTGTCTGTTGATTTGGTCACAGCTCCCTGATGGGTGTGTCTGTTAATTTGGTCACAGCTCCCTGATGGGTGTGTCTGTTGGTGTGTCTGTTGGTGTGTCTGTTGATTTGGTCACAGCTCCCTGATGGGTGTGTCTGTTGGTGTGTCTGTTGGTGTGTCTGTTGATTTGGTCACAGCTCCCTGATGGGTGTGTCTGTTGATTTGGTCACAGCTTGCTGATGGGTGTGTCTGTTGATTTGGTCACAGCTCCCTGATGGGTGTGTCTGTTGGTGTGTCTGTTGGTGTGTCTGTTGATTTGGTCACAGCTCCCTGATGGGTGTGTCTGTTGATTTGGTCACAGCTCCCTGATGGGTGTGTCTGTTGATTTGGTCACAGCTTCCTGATGGGTGTGTCTGTTAATTTGGTCACAGCTCCCTGATGGGTGTGTCTGTTAATTTGGTCACAGCTTCCTGATGTGTCTGTTGGTGTGTCTGTTGATTTGGTCACAGCTCCCTGATGGGTGTGTCTGTTGATTTGGTCACAGCTCCCTGATGGGTGTGTCTGTTGATTTGGTCACAGCTTCCTGATGGGTGTGTCTGTTGATTTGGTTACAGCTCCCTGATGGGTGTGTCTGTTGATTTGGTCACAGCTTCCTGATGGGTGTGTCTGTTGATTTGGTCACAGCTCCCTGATGGGTGTGTCTGTTGATTTGGTCACAGCTTCCTGATGGGTGTGTCTGTGTGTCTGTTGATTTGGTCACAGCTTCCTGATGGGTGTGTCTGTTGATTTGGTCACAGCTCCCTGATGGGTGTGTCTGTGTGTCTGTTGATTTGGTCACAGCTTCCTGATGGGTGTGTCTGTTGATTTGGTCACAGCTTCCTGATGGGTGTGTCTGTTGATTTGGTCACAGCTTCCTGATGGGTGTGTCTGTTGATTTGGTCACAGCTCCCTGATGGGTGTGTCTGTTGATTTGGTCACAGCTTCCTGATGGGTGTGTCTGTTGATTTGGTCACAGCTCCCTGATGGGTGTGTCTGTTGGTGTGTCTGTTGATTTGGTCACAGCTCCCTGATGGGTGTGTCTGTGTGTCTGTTGATTTGGTCACAGCTTCCTGATGGGTGTGTCTGTTGATTTGGTCACAGCTTCCTGATGGGTGTGTCTGTTGATTTGGTCACAGCTCCCTGATGGGTGTGTCTGTTGATTTGGTCACAGCTCCCTGATGGGTGTGTCTGTTAATTTGGTCACAGCTCCCTGATGGGTGTGTCTGTTGATTTGGTCACAGCTCCCTGATGGGTGTGTCTGTTGATTTGGTCACAGCTCCCTGATGGGTGTGTCTGTTGATTTGGTCACAGCTCCCTGATGGGTGTGTCTGTTGATTTGGTCACAGCTCCCTGATGGGTGTGTCTGTGTGTCTGTTGATTTGGTCACAGCTTCCTGATGGGTGTGTCTGTTGATTTGGTCACAGCTCCCTGATGGGTGTGTCTGTTGATTTGGTCACAGCTTCCTGATGGGTGTGTCTGTTGATTTGGTCACAGCTCCCTGATGGGTGTGTCTGTTGGTGTGTCTGTTGATTTGGTCACAGCTCCCTGATGGGTGTGTCTGTGTGTCTGTTGATTTGGTCACAGCTTCCTGATGGGTGTGTCTGTTGATTTGGTCACAGCTCCCTGATGGGTGTGTCTGTGTGTCTGTTGATTTGGTCACAGCTTCCTGATGTGTCTGTTGGTGTGTCTGTTGATTTGGTCACAGCTCCCTGATGGGTGTGTCTGTTAATTTGGTCACAGCTTCCTGATGGGTGTGTCTGTGTGTCTGTTGATTTGGTCACAGCTTCCTGATGGGTGTGTCTGTTAATTTGGTCACAGCTCCCTGATGGGTGTGTCTGTTAATTTGGTCACAGCTTCCTGATGTGTCTGTTGGTGTGTCTGTTGATTTGGTCACAGCTCCCTGATGGGTGTGTCTGTTAATTTGGTCACAGCTCCCTGATGGGTGTGTCTGTTGATTTGGTCACAGCTCCCTGATGGGTGTGTCTGTTGATTTGGTCACAGCTTCCTGATGGGTGTGTCTGTTGATTTGGTCACAGCTCCCTGATGGGTGTGTCTGTTGATTTGGTCACAGCTCCCTGATGGGTGTGTCTGTTGATTTGGTCACAGCTCCCTGATGGGTGTGTCTGTTGATTTGGTCACAGCTCCCTGATGGGTGTGTCTGTTGATTTGGTCACAGCTCCCTGATGGGTGTGTCTGTTGATTTGGTCACAGCTCCCTGATGGGTGTGTCTGTGTGTCTGTTGATTTGGTCACAGCTCCCTGATGGGTGTGTCTGTTGGTGTGTCTGTTGATTTGGTCACAGCTCCCTGATGGGTGTGTCTGTTGATTTGGTCACAGCTCCCTGATGGGTGTGTCTGTTAATTTGGTCACAGCTCCCTGATGGGTGTGTCTGTTGGTGTGTCTGTTGGTGTGTCTGTTGATTTGGTCACAGCTCCCTGATGGGTGTGTCTGTTGATCTGGTTTATTTAAATAATTGGCAATTTGAAATAATAAAAGAAAGATACTTGTGGTTCAACATGTACGTTACATTAGCATTTTATTCTCAAAGTTTTTTTTTTATTTGATGTGTAAACTAATCCAATTTGATATTTCCAATACTGTATTTGTAGACCAGTTGCTCTTACAAATTCTACATGGACAATGAAGTGACCAAAACAGAGGAGGTCAAGGGCACTATCAACCCTGATTACCTGCATGAGAGGAACGTCCATTTTAAAGCTGTCACTGAGCAGGTAGGTTTTGTTTCATCAGGTAGGTTTGGTTAAAGCAAGTTGGTTTTGTTAATATCATGTAGGTTTAGTTAAATCATGTAGGTTTGGTTAAATCAGGTGGGTTTAGCTTAATCAGGTAGGTTTGGTTAAATCATGTAGGTTTAGTTTAATCAGGTAGGTTTGGTTAAATCAGGTGGGTTTAGTTTATTCAGGTAGGTTTGGTTAAATCACGTAGGTTTAGTTTAATCAGCTAGGCTTAATTTAATCAGGTAGGTTTAATTAAATCACGTAGGTTTAGTTTAATCAGACAGGTTTGGTTAATATCAGCTAATTAGTCACCTGACCAATGGTTTGTCTATTATCTACCTGTCTGTTTCAGCTAATTAGTCACCTGACCAATGGTCTATTATCTACCTGTCTGTTTCAGCTAATTAGTCACCTGACCAATGGTCTATTATCTACCTGTCTGTTTAAGCTAATTAGTCACCTGACCAATGGTCTATTATCTACCTGTCTGTTTCAGCTAATTAGTCACCTGACCAATGGTCTATTATCTACCTGTTTCAGCTAATTAGTCACCTGACCAATGGTCTATTATCTACCTGTCTGTTTCAGCTAATTAGTCACCTGACCAATGGTCTATTATCTACCTGTCTGTTTCAGCTAATTAGTCACCTGACCAATGGTCTATTATATACCTGTTTGTTTCAGCTAATTAGTCACCTGACCAATGGTCTATTATCTACCTGTCTGTTTCAGCTAATTAGTCACCTGACCAATGGTTTGTCTATTATATACCTGTCTGTTTCAGCTAATTAGTCACCTGACCAATGGTCTATTATCTACCTGTCTGTTTCAGCTAATTAGTCACCTGACCAATGGTTTGTCTATTATCTACCTGTCTGTTTCAGCTAATTAGTCACCTGACCAATGGTTTGTCTATTATCTACCTGTCTGTTTCAGCTAATTAGTCACCTGACCAATGGTTTGTCTATTATCTACCTGTCTGTTTCAGCTAATTAGTCACCTGACCAATGGTCTATTATCTACCTGTTTCAGCTAATTAGTCACCTGACCAATGGTCTATTATCTACCTGTCTGTTTCAGCTAATTCGTCACCTGACCAATGGTCTATTATCTACCTGTCTGTTTCAGCTAATTAGTCACCTGACCAATGGTCTATTATCTACCTGTCTGTTTCAGCTAATTAGTCACCTGACCAATGGTCTATTATCTACCTGTCTGTTTCAGCTAATTAGTCACCTGACCAATGGTCTATTATCTACCTGTCTGTTTCAGCTAATTAGTCACCTGACCAATGGTCTATTATCTACCTGTTTCAGCTAATTAGTCACCTGACCAATGGTCTATTATCTACCTGTTTCAGCTAATTAGTCACCTGACCAATGGTCTATTATCTACCTGTCTGTTTCAGCTAATTAGTCACCTGACCAATGGTCTATTATCTACCTGTTTCAGCTAATTAGTCACCTGACCAATGGTCTATTATCTACCTGTCTGTTTCAGCTAATTAGTCACCTGACCAATGGTCTATTATCTACCTGTTTCAGCTAATTAGTCACCTGACCAATGGTCTATTATCTACCTGTTTCAGCTAATTAGTCACCTGACCAATGGTCTATTATCTACCTGTTTCAGCTAATTAGTCACCTGACCAATGGTCTATTATCTACCTGTCTGTTTCAGCTAATTAGTCACCTGACCAATGGTCTATTATCTACCTGTTTCAGCTAATTAGTCACCTGACCAATGGTCTATTATCTACCTGTCTGTTTCAGCTAATTAGTCACCTGACCAATGGTCTATTATCTACCTGTTTCAGCTAATTAGTCACCTGACCAATGGTCTATTATCTACCTGTCTGTTTCAGCTAATTAGTCACCTGACCAATGGTTTGTCTATTATCTACCTGTCTGTTTCAGCTAATTAGTCACCTGACCAATGGTCTATTATCTACCTGTCTGTTTCAGCTAATTAGTCACCTGACCAATGGTCTATTATCTACCTGTTTCAGCTAATTAGTCACCTGACCAATGGTCTATTATCTACCTGTCTGTTTCAGCTAATTAGTCACCTGACCAATGGTCTATTATCTACCTGTCTGTTTCAGCTAATTAGTCACCTGACCAATGGTCTATTATCTACCTGTCTGTTTCAGCTAATTAGTCACCTGACCAATGGTCTATTATCTACCTGTCTGTTTCAGCTAATTAGTCACCTGACCAATGGTCTATTATCTACCTGTTTCAGCTAATTAGTCACCTGACCAATGGTCTATTATCTACCTGTCTGTTTCAGCTAATTAGTCACCTGACCAATGGTTTGTCTATTATCTACCTGTCTGTTTCAGCTAATTAGTCACCTGACCAATGGTCTATTATCTACCTGTCTGTTTCAGCTAATTAGTCACCTGACCAATGGTCTATTATCTACCTGTTTCAGCTAATTAGTCACCTGACCAATGGTCTATTATCTACCTGTCTGTTTCAGCTAATTAGTCACCTGACCAATGGTCTATTATCTACCTGTCTGTTTCAGCTAATTAGTCACCTGACCAATGGTCTATTATCTACCTGTCTGTTTCAGCTAATTAGTCACCTGACCAATGGTCTATTATCTACCTGTTTCAGCTAATTAGTCACCTGACCAATGGTCTATTATCTACCTGTCTGTTTCAGCTAATTAGTCACCTGACCAATGGTCTATTATCTACCTGTTTCAGCTAATTAGTCACCTGACCAATGGTCTATTATCTACCTGTTTCAGCTAATTAGTCACCTGACCAATGGTCTATTATCTACCTGTCTGTTTCAGCTAATTAGTCACCTGACCAATGGTCTATTATCTACCTGTTTCAGCTAATTAGTCACCTGACCAATGGTCTATTATCTACCTGTCTGTTTCAGCTAATTAGTCACCTGACCAATGGTCTATTATCTACCTGTTTCAGCTAATTAGTCACCTGACCAATGGTCTATTATCTACCTGTCTGTTTCAGCTAATTAGTCACCTGACCAATGGTTTGTCTATTATCTACCTGTCTGTTTCAGCTAATTAGTCACCTGACCAATGGTCTATTATCTACCTGTCTGTTTCAGCTAATTAGTCACCTGACCAATGGTCTATTATCTACCTGTTTCAGCTAATTAGTCACCTGACCAATGGTCTATTATCTACCTGTCTGTTTCAGCTAATTAGTCACCTGACCAATGGTCTATTATCTACCTGTCTGTTTCAGCTAATTAGTCACCTGACCAATGGTCTATTATCTACCTGTCTGTTTCAGCTAATTAGTCACCTGACCAATGGTCTATTATCTACCTGTCTGTTTCAGCTAATTAGTCACCTGACCAATGGTCTATTATCTACCTGTTTCAGCTAATTAGTCACCTGACCAATGGTCTATTATCTACCTGTCTGTTTCAGCTAATTAGTCACCTGACCAATGGTTTGTCTATTATCTACCTGTCTGTTTCAGCTAATTAGTCACCTGACCAATGGTCTATTATCTACCTGTCTGTTTCAGCTAATTAGTCACCTGACCAATGGTCTATTATCTACCTGTTTCAGCTAATTAGTCACCTGACCAATGGTCTATTATCTACCTGTCTGTTTCAGCTAATTAGTCACCTGACCAATGGTCTATTATCTACCTGTCTGTTTCAGCTAATTAGTCACCTGACCAATGGTCTATTATCTACCTGTCTGTTTCAGCTAATTAGTCACCTGACCAATGGTCTATTATCTACCTGTTTCAGCTAATTAGTCACCTGACCAATGGTCTATTATCTACCTGTCTGTTTCAGCTAATTAGTCACCTGACCAATGGTCTATTATCTACCTGTTTCAGCTAATTAGTCACCTGACCAATGGTTTGTCTATTATCTACCTGTCTGTTTCAGCTAATTAGTCACCTGACCAATGGTCTATTATCTACCTGTCTGTTTCAGCTAATTAGTCACCTGACCAATGGTCTATTATATACCTGTCTGTTTCAGCTAATTAGTCACCTGACCAATGGTCTATTATCTACCTGTCTGTTTCAGCTAATTAGTCACCTGACCAATGGTCTATTATCTACCTGTTTCAGCTAATTAGTCACCTGACCAATGGTCTATTATCTACCTGTCTGTTTCAGCTAATTAGTCACCTGACCAATGGTCTATTATCTACCTGTCTGTTTCAGCTAATTAGTCACCTGACCAATGGTCTATTATCTACCTGTTTCAGCTAATTAGTCACCTGACCAATGGTCTATTATCTACCTGTTTCAGCTAATTAGTCACCTGACCAATGGTCTATTATCTACCTGTCTGTTTCAGCTAATTAGTCACCTGACCAATGGTCTATTATCTACCTGTTTGTTTCAGCTAATTAGTCACCTGACCAATGGTTTATTATCTACCTGTTTCAGCTAATTAGTCACCTGACCAATGGTCTATTATCTACCTGTTTCAGCTAATTAGTCACCTGACCAATGGTCTATTATCTACCTGTTTCAGCTAATTAGTCACCTGACCAATGGTCTATTATCTACCTGTCTGTTTCAGCTAATTAGTCACCTGACCAATGGTCTATTATCTACCTGTTTGTTTCAGCTAATTAGTCACCTGACCAATGGTTTATTATCTACCTGTTTCAGCTAATTAGTCACCTGACCAATGGTCTATTATCTACCTGTTTCAGCTAATTAGTCACCTGACCAATGGTTTGTCTATTATCTACCTGTCTGTTTCAGCTAATTAGTCACCTGACCAATGGTCTATTATCTACCTGTTTCAGCTAATTAGTCACCTGACCAATGGTCTATTATCTACCTGTCTGTTTCAGCTAATTAGTCACCTGACCAATGGTCTATTATCTACCTGTCTGTTTCAGCTAATTAGTCACCTGACCAATGGTCTATTATCTACCTGTTTCAGCTAATTAGTCACCTGACCAATGGTCTATTATCTACCTGTCTGTTTCAGCTAATTAGTCACCTGACCAATGGTCTATTATCTACCTGTCTGTTTCAGCTAATTAGTCACCTGACCAATGGTCTATTATCTACCTGTTTCAGCTAATTAGTCACCTGACCAATGGTCTATTATCTACCTGTTTCAGCTAATTAGTCACCTGACCAATGGTCTATTATCTACCTGTCTGTTTCAGCTAATTAGTCACCTGACCAATGGTCTATTATCTACCTGTTTGTTTCAGCTAATTAGTCACCTGACCAATGGTTTATTATCTACCTGTTTCAGCTAATTAGTCACCTGACCAATGGTCTATTATCTACCTGTTTCAGCTAATTAGTCACCTGACCAATGGTTTGTCTATTATCTACCTGTCTGTTTCAGCTAATTAGTCACCTGACCAATGGTCTATTATCTACCTGTTTCAGCTAATTAGTCACCTGACCAATGGTCTATTATCTACCTGTCTGTTTCAGCTAATTAGTCACCTGACCAATGGTCTATTATCTACCTGTCTGTTTCAGCTAATTAGTCACCTGACCAATGGTCTATTATCTACCTGTTTCAGCTAATTAGTCACCTGACCAATGGTCTATTATCTACCTGTCTGTTTCAGCTAATTAGTCACCTGACCAATGGTCTATTATCTACCTGTTTCAGCTAATTAGTCACCTGACCAATGAAGCCATGACCGTGGAGGTCTGGGGGCAGCAAAAAGAAGAAGGCATGAAATCTTCAAGTCTGAAACAACCTGTCAGTGGAGCCAGTGGCAAGGTTAGTCAGGTTCAATGTTTGGGCTACCAAGGTCAACATTTGGGCTAGCAAGGTCAATGTTTGGGCTATCAAGGTCAATGTTTGGGCTACCAAGGTCAATATTAGGGCTACCAAGGTCAATGTTTGGGTTATCAAGGTCAATGTTTGGGCTATCAAGGTCAATATTAGGGCTACCAAGGTCAATGTTTGGGTTATCAAGGTCAACGTTTGGGCTACCAAGGTCAATGTTTGGGTTATCAAGGTCAATGCTTGGGCTACCAAGGTCAATGTTTGGGCTACCAAGGTCAATGTTTGGGCTACCAAGGTCAATGTTTGGGCTACCAAGGTCAATGTTTGGGCTACCAAGGTCAATATTAGGGCTATCAAGGTCAATGTTTGGGTTATCAAGGTCAATGTTTGGGCTACCAAGGTCAATGTTTGGGCTACCAAGGTCAATGTTTGGGCTACCAAGGTCAATGTTTGGGCTACCAAGGTCAATGTTTGGGCTACCAAGGTCAACATTTGGACTACCAAGGTCAATATTTGGGCTGCAAGGTCAACAATTGGGCTAGCAAGGTCAATGTTTGGGCTAACTAAGTAATTGGTCTGTGTAGTAAATACATTTGGGCTGACAATGTGTATGCTGTGTGTAGTAAGTAGATTCAAATTTTATTTGAAGCCACTTCCTGTTTGAAACTGAATTTTTATTTGACAGGAGTCAAAGGGCCATGAGTCAAAGAGCCATGAGCCGTCTGCAGCTGAACTGGTGGTAAGTAACATGTGAACTCTGATTTTAGATATATTTAGATATAGAAGCAAGAAACATATTTAGATATAGAAGCAAGAAACATATTTAGATATAGAAGCAAGAAACATAATTAGATATAAATGATATACAAAATATGTAGATTTATATGATTTATACAATTTTAGATATATGTGATAAAAAATATTTATGCATATTTACTAAAGATTTATTTATATATTTGTGTAACATTAGTAACAAGCACATAACATATATACACATATAAATAAAAAAGTTTTATTACAGTTACAAATACAAGAGCAAGTTAAAAAAGCAAAGGCTAATGGAATAAAGACAGTTCCAGTAAGTTAAAAATTTGTAGAAATCTGTTTCTTCAGGGGGGAAGCACTGGCAGCCGTCACCCCCAAACGCAATAGAATTTAAATAGAAAATATAAGGCCTATATTTTTACCAATATGGTCCACCACCTTTCCCCCCTCTCCACTAAAGCCTGTCTAATGACAGAAAAGGATCGAAAAAATAACAAAAAACTCACTAGTTTCAAGTTCCCTTTAACTCTTCTTAGCTTGTTCTGTGTTTGGTATTTCATTGGTTGTTTCCCTTAGACTGCTAATATGCTAATTATTATATTTTTCCACAGTAAGTGTAGATCTAGCCTTTGAAATGTATTATTTAGTAATGGAAAATGCTACTAATTAAACAAAAAGTAAATAAAATTCTTACAATAAGATAACTATATGTATATATATATATATATATATATATATATATATATATATATATATATATATATATATATATATATATATATATATATATATATATATATATATATATATATATATATATATATATATATATATATATATATATATATATATATATATATATATATATATATATATATATATATATTTATATTTATATTTATATTTATATTTATATTTATATATATATATATTGGAATACAAAAAAAACCAAAACGTGAAATAGAAAAAAATCCAAACACACTAAATTCACCTTAAATCAAGATGTGTTACAATAGTCAAGTACACTTTATCCCAATAGAATTCAATAGATACATAGGTGTATATGTGTGGAAATATTTCAACCATAGGTGTATGTATATGTGTGGGAATATTCAACCATAGTTGATAGGAATATGTGTGGGAATATTCAACTATAGGTGTATATGTGTGGGAATATCCAACTATAGGTGTATATGTGTGGGAATATTCAACCATAGGTGTATATGTGTGGGAATATTCAACTATATGTGTATATGTGTGGGAATATTCAACTATAGGTGTATATGTGTGGCAATATTCAACCATAGGTCTTTAGGTATAGGAATATTCAACCATAGGTCTTTATAGGAATATTCAACAATAGGTCTTTAGATATAGGAATATTCAACCAAAGGTCTTTAGATATAGGAATATGCAACCATAGGTCTTTAGGCCTTTTAGAATATGCAGTCCAACAATTTAAATGAAAGAACTGCTTGCTTGCTAAAGAGTCTTTTTAAAGTCCCAAAAATGTAATGTACAATCAAATACCCACTCAATGAAGCTGAGTTCATTTTTAAATTAATTTCATCAAGCCTTTGACCTTTTAAAAATTTTGTAATTGTTTGTAATAAAACATGTTTGTAATAAAAAATGTTTGTAATAAAAAAATGTTTGTAATAGAAAATGTTTGTAATAAAAAATGTTTGTAATAGAAAATGTTTGACTTTTGTTCCAGATTTCCGAGATAGAAAATTCTCTGGCCAGGTTAACTGGTGCAGAACCCAGCAACATCAAAGGTGGAAAAGGAACATCCAGAGCTTGTTTGATTCAATAATAGAAGTGTGTCAAGTTTATGACTAGGGATGTGTGTCAAGTTTACAACCAGGGATGTGTGTCAAGTTTATGACTAGGGATGTGTGTCAAGTTTATGACTAGGGATGTGTGTCAAGTTTACAACCAGGGATGTGTGTCAAGTTTACAACCAGGGATGTGTGTCAAGTTTACGACTAGGGATGTGTGTCAAGTTTATGACCAGGGATGTGTGTCAAGTTTACGACTAGGGATGTGTGTCAAGTTTACAACCAGGCAACTCTCTCCTGGCCAAAGGAGAAATTGAAGGCAACTCTCTCCTGGTCAAATGCAGAAATTTCCTTTATTAAACATTTGTCCACATTTTTTCTTTCTTGTGTTCACAAGCTCAATATTTTTTTCTTCAACCTTTTGTACACATGATGTAAACAATGTACTGTTGATGTCTATCTATATTCCTTCAATTATTGTTATAAATTGATGTCAACATTTGATACAAAACTATGTGGCAAATGAATAAAGCAAGTCCCTATCTGATCCTGCCCCCCCAGATTTACTAAGCTGTTTTTTGTGTTGGCTCAATGCTGTTAATCAAAAGTAATTTTGTAAATATTTACCCTGCTTGTTTTAGCCTGTCAGTTGTGCTGTGTAACCCTTTGATCACTCACACACAATAGGCCTCTCTGTTGCATTCAGGTTTTTTGTACACTACCACATTTTTCATTAAAGTGAATTTTATAAAGTAAACTCAGTTTAAAAATCACATTGCATTGCTTTTTTTTAATCCTGTGGAAATTGACTTCAATTTTGGTTGAGAATTGATGAGACTTGATGAGACTTGATATTTTGGTTGAGACTTGATGAGACTTGATGAGACTTGATGAGACTTGATATTTTGGTTGAGACTTGATGAGACTTGATATTTTGGTTGAGACTTGATGAGACTTGATGAGACTTGATATTTTGGATGAGACTTGATGAGACTTGATGAGACTTGATGAGACTTGATGAGACTTGATGAGACTTGATATTTTGGTTGAGACTTGATGAGACTTGATGAGACTTGATGAGACTTGATATTTTGGTTGAGACTTGATGAGACTTGATGAGACTTGATGAGACTTGATATTTTGGTTGAGACTTGATGAGACTTGATATTTTGGTTGAGACTTGATGAGACTTGATGAGACTTGATGAGACTTGATATTTTGGTTGAGACTTGATGAGACTTGATGAGACTTGATATTTTGGTTGAGACTTGATGAGACTTGATGAGACTTGATGAGACTTGATAAGACTTGATGAGACTTGATGAGACTTGATGAGACTTGATATTTTGGTTGAGACTTGATGAGACTTGATATTTTGGTTGAGACTTGATGAGACTTGATATTTTGGTTGAGACTTGATGAGACTTGATGAGACTTGATATTTTGGTTGAGACTTGATGAGACTTGATGAGACTTGATGAGACTTGATGAGACTTGATATTTTGGTTGAGACTTGATGAGACTTGATGAGACTTGATATTTTGGTTGAGAATTGATGAGACTTGATATTTTGGTTGAGAATTGATGAGACTTGATATTTTGGTTGAGACTTGATGATCTTTTTGGACAAAATCGTGGCCACAAGTCTCTTGACTTCTACAGATTGTGATTTTATTTTAATTTTATTAAAGACTAAATGTAGATTTGTGATGTAGTCTAAGCCTAAATACATACATAGGTCTATATATATATATATATATATATATATATATATATATATATATATATATATATATATATATATATATATATATATATATATATATATATATATATGTATATATGTATATATATGTATATATGTGTATATATATGTGTATATATATATATATATATATATATATATATATATAGGCTATATAGTTAAAGTCCTATATATACCTATGTTGTATGTAGGCCTCTAGCGAAGACAATCCCCACCACAAGTTGTCCAGCAGACATTTGCTAATTGCCCCATGGACGGGAATAGCCCATCAAGGCGGGCAGGCTACTAAGCATTGTCTTATCATTATGTGTCATTTACTGAACACGGCTTTTAAAAAGCTTTTATCTTTATGAAAATAGGTTTTTAAAAAGGAGATTTTTCCCTTAACAAGGCACGATTTCATCAGAACAGGAGAGTTATTGATCTCCCGCCCCCTGGACTTGCACTGACGTCATGGGCTCGCGTCTTCTCCGCTTTCGTAAGACCACCTTCCATCTCGAGTTGTGGATGACAGAAACAGCAGCTATTCCATTGCGTGTCCACGTCTCAACAACTTCTTCAAAACAAACCATTTAAATTTAAAAAAAGGGTCAAGGTTGAAGGCTATTATCAAACAGGCCTACGTTTTTTTTTTTTGTTTAATTTGACATTTTTTTTCCTGGAGGGTCTCTTCAGCAGACGGTTGAGAACTTAATCAAGCACACAGATAATCAGCACAACGGCGTTTCAACTAATCGCTCCATTGTTAAAATCGCATTCAAATAATGGACTATGTGTAGAGCTAAGCACTTTTTGGAAAACTAAATTACAATGAAAATTACAAATTAGGCCACATATAAACACTAAAATAAAGGAATAGGCCCTAACAATACGAAACAATCCATAACAAAAATGTATAGATCTCGATAATCATGTCGACAAAATTTACTTGCAAAATTTACTTGCAAAATTTTGAGTAAAACGTGTAAGCTCATGAAATCAAATACCTAGATTCTATTTGCTATAATATAAGTACAAGAAACAAAGATTGTCTTACCATATACTTTTTTACTTTCTTGTATACGAAGTATAGAGAAAGTATTGTAATCGTGCAAAAAAAAAATAAAAATCGAGATTTTTTGCAAATCTCGACGTTTTACACCTCCCTGAGTCGGAAAAACATAGTTTTGCAATCTTGTCCGTATGTCTGTGTGTATGTGTGTGTGTGTGTGTGTGTGTGTGTGTGTGTGTGTAAACGCGATAACTTAAGTACCGTTACAGCTAGGTTGATGAAATTTCATATATAAGTATAATATCAAATTTGTAGTTTTATATCAACTTTTCAGCGATTTCCGGTTCTATTTTTAGTTTTTCAAAAGCTTATAACTTGAGTACTGTTTCAGACAGATGAACGAAATTTCACATATATATGTTAAAGATCTACTTTTCTGCCTTTTTTCAAATGTTGAGTAATTTAATTTCCGTTGACCGGAAGTAGTAATTTACTCTATTTCCGATTTCTCAAAAAACCGCATGCGAATTTTTAAAGTACTAATAATATTCCGCACTATTATACACACAGATTGTTTGGCGTTCACTTGATGCGCAATTCTTTTTTTCTACGATATTCTGTTCTATTTTAAAACGTTTAAATAAATAAATATGTATTAAACATATTGTCTATACCCCGAGTTGCCATCCCCCGTAGTGTTATGTAAGAATATTCGAGAAAGTTTAAGGGAGATCACTCCCGGTTTATTCTCTATTAGCTCGTGATATTTGTTGTATGTTTGCATGAAGAACAATAATAATTACTGAAAATATGGTGGTGATACAAGCTGTATAAATAACCGATTATTGATGAAAATATAAGCTAAGCACTCTTTAAAGATATCTTTAAAGCTGACATCAACTGCATAATTTACACAGGAGATAAAATTGTAGATGTTTATTTTCAGTTAGTGATTAGTTCATTAATTACTGGGATCGGCTGACACCACATCTAATAATTTTCTATCAGTGGATTCAAATAATGGGCTTTGGCTAAATCAGAGCGGGCTGTGACCTATTGCAACTATATATATAGGCATATATATATATATATATATATATATATATATATATATATATATATATATATATATATATATATGTATGTATAGCCTATACTTTTTACTTTCTCGTATATACGAAGTATAGAAAAAGTCTTGTAATCGTGCAAAAAAAATAAAAAATCGAGGTTTTTACAAATCTCGACGTTTTACACCTCACTGATACGGAAAAACATAATTTTGCAATCTTGTCCGTATGTCTGTGTGTCTGTGTGTCTGTCTGTGTGTAAAAACGATAACTTGAGTACCGTAACAGCTAGGTTAATGAATTTTCATATATAAGTATTTTATCAAAATCGTAGATCCTGATCAACTTTTGAGCGATTTCCGATAAACGGAAGTGGTACTTTTTCTACTTTGAATTTTTCAAAAGCATATAACTTGAGTACTATTTCAGATAGATAAATGAAATTTCACATGTAAGTAAAAGATCTAATTCTCTACCTTCTGTCAAATTTTGAGTAATTTCCGTTGACCGGAAGTACTAATTTACGCTATTTCCGATTTCTAAAAAAAACGCATGTAAATTTACAAAGTACTAATAATATTGCACACTATGGGTGACACCCGACCTAGCGACGCCACTGGTTAAGCCTACAGTGGATGTGAAAGTTAAACCTACGATGGAAGTGAAAGTTAAACCTACGATGGAAGTGAAAGTTAAACTTACAATGGAAGTGGAAGTTAAACCTACAATGGAAGTGAAAGTTAAACCTACAATAGAAGTGAAAGTTAAACCTACAATGGAAGTGAAAGTTAAACCTACAATGGAAGTAAAAGTTAAACCTACAATGGAAGTGAAAGTTAAACCTACAATGGAAGTGAAAGTTAAACCTACAATGGAAGTGAAAGTTAAACCTACAATGGAAGTGAAAGTTAAACCTACAATGGAAGCAAAAGTTAAACCTACAATGGAAGTGAAAGTTAAACCTACAATGGAAGTGAAAGTTAAACCTACAATGGAAGTGAAAGTTAAACCTACAATGGAAGTGAAAGTTAAACCTACAATGGAAGTGAAAGTTAAACCTACAATGGAAGTGAAAGTTAAACCTACAATGGAAGTGAAAGTTAAACCTACTATGGAAGTGAAAGTTAAACCTACGATGGAAGTGAAAGTTAAACCTACGATGGAAGTGAAAGTTAAACCTACAATGGAAGTGGAAGTTAAACCTACAATGGAAGTGAAAGTTAAACCTACAATAGAAGTGAAAGTTAAACCTACAAAGGAAGTGGAAGTTAAACCTACAATGGAAGTGAAAGTTAAACCTACAATAGAAGTGAAAGTTAAACCTACAATGGAAGTGAAAGTTAAACCTACAATGGAAGTGAAAGTTAAACCTGCAGTGGAAGTGAAAGTTAAACCTGCAGTAGAAGTGAATGTATTAAAAAGATGTTAACGAGAAAAGATGCCACCCTGGTCCATTGATTGAAAGTTAAACCTACAATGGAAGTGAAAGTTAAACCTACAATAGAAGTGAAAGTTAAACCTACAATGGAAGTGAAAGTTAAACCTACAATGGAAGTGAAAGTTAAACCTGCAGTGGAAGTGAAAGTTAAACCTGCAGTAGAAGTGAATGTATTAAAAAGATGTTAACGAGAAAAGATGCCACCCTGGTCCATTGATTGCATCATCGACTTCTTGTAGCCATCCGGCTCATTAAAGCTCGTTAGTTCATTTCAGATTTTCATTCTTCATTTGTTCATTTTAGATTTTCATTCTTCATTAGTTCATTTCAGATTTTTATTCTTCATTAGTTCATTTTAGATTTTCATTCTTCATTAGTTCCTTTCAGATTTTCATTCTTCAATAGTTTATTCCAGATGATCGTTCTTTATTTCATCCTCATTTGAACATTGTTAAAAAAAACATTCTACATATTCCAATTTAAAAAACATTCTACATATTCCAATAAAAAAAAACATTCTAGATAATCCAATTAAAAAAAAACCCAACCAAACCCATATAATCGCTGTAATTATTGTAATGTACGTATTTTTATAAAAACTTGTTTCAGGTTGTCACTAACCACCACTGTCACGTCACTAACCACCACTGCCACTAACCACCACTGTCACTAACCACCACTGTCACTAACCACCACTGTCACTAACCACCACTGCCACTAACCATCACTGCCACTAACCATCACTGCCACTAACCATCACTGCCACTAACCATCACTGTCACTAACTACCACTGTCACGTCACTAACCATCACTGCCACTAACCACCACTGTCACGTCACTAACCACCACTGTCACTAACCACCACTGTCACTAACCACCACTGCCACTAACCATCACTGCCACTAACCATCACTGCCACTAACCACCACTGTCACGTCACTAACCACCACTGTCACGTCACTAACCACCACTGTCACGTCACTAACCACCACTGTCACTAACCACCACTGTCACGTCACTAACCACCACTGTCACTAACCACCACTGTTACTAACCACCACTGCCACTAACCATCACTGCCACTAACCATCACTGCCACTAACCACCACTGTCACGTCACTAACCACCACTGTCACGCCACTAACCACCACTGTCACGTCACTAACCACCACTGTCACGTCACTAACCACCACTGTCACTAACCACCACTGTCACGTCACTAACCACCACTGTCAGGTCACTAACCACCACTGTCACGTCACTAACCACCACTGTCACTAACCACCACTGCCACTAACCACCACTGTCACTAACCACCACTGCCACTAACCACCACTGTCACGTCACTAACCACCACTGCCACTAACCACCACTGTCACTAACTACCACTGTCACTAACCACCACTGTCACGTCACTAACAACCACTGTCACTAACCACCACTGCCACTAACCATCACTGCCACTAACCACCACTGTCACGTCACTAACCACCACTGTCACGTCACTAACAACCACTGTCACGTCACTAACCACCACTGTCACTAACCACCACTGTCACGTCACTAACCACCACTGTCACGTCACTAACCACCACTGTCACGTACCTAACCACCACTGCCACTAATCACCACTGTCACGTCACTAACCACCACTATCACTAACCACCACTGCCACGTCACTAATCACCACTGTCGCGTCACTAACCACCACTATCACTAACCACCACTATCACTAACCACCACTGCCACTAACCACCACTATCACTAACCACCACTATCACTAACCACCACTATCACTAACCACCACTATCACTAACCACCACTGTCACGTCACTAACCACCACTGTCACGTCACTAACCACCACTATCACTAACCACCACTGTCACTAACCACCACTGTCACGTCACTAACCACCACTATCACTAACCACCACTGTCACTAACTACCACTGTCACTAACCACCACTGTCACGTCACTAACCACCACTGCCACTAACCACCACTGTCACGTCACTAACCACCACTGTCACGTCACTAACCACCACTGCCACTAACCACCACTGTCACGTCACTAACCACCACTGTCACTAACCACCACTGCCACTAACCAACAATGTCACTTACCACCATTGCTACTAACCACCACTGCCACTAACCACCACTGCCACTAACCACCACTGTCACTAACCACCACTGCCACTAGCAACCACTGCCACTAACCACCACTAACCACCACTGCCACTAACCACCACTGCCACTAACCACCACTGCCACTAACCACCACTGTCACTAACCACCACTGCCACTAACCACCACTGCCACTAACCACCACTGCCACTAACCACCACTTCCACTAACCACCACTGTCACGTCACTAACCACCACTGTCACTAACCACCACTGTCACTAACCACCACTGTCACGTCACTAACCACCACTGCCACTAACCACCACTGCTACTAACCACCACTGTCACTAACTACCACTGGCACTAACCACCACTGTCACGTCACTAGCCACCACTGTCACGTCACTAACCACCACTGTCACGTCACTAACTACCACTGTCACGTCACTAACCACCACTGCCACTAACCACCACTGTCACTAACCACCACTGTCACTAACCACCACTGTCACGTCAGTAACCACCACTGCCACTAACCACCGCTGTCACGTCACTAACCAACACTGTCACGGCACTAACCACCACTGCCACTAAGCAGCACTGTCACGTCAGTAACCACCACTGCCACTAACCACCGCTGTCACGTCTCTAACCAACACTGTCACGTCACTAACCACCACTGTCACTAACCACCACTGTCACGTCACTAACCACCACTGCCACTATCCACAACTGCCACTAACCACCACTGTCACTAACCACCACTGCCACTAACCACCACTGTTACGTCACTAACCACCACTGTCACGTCACTAACCACCACTGCCACTAACCACCACTGCCACTAACCACCACTGTCACTAACCACCACTGTCACTAACTACCACTGTCACTAACCACCACTGTCACGTCACTAACCACCACTGCCACTAACCACCACTGTCACGTCACTAACCACCACTGCCACTAACCTCCACTGTCACGTCACTAACCACCACTGCCACTAACCACCACTGTCACGTCACTAACCACCACTGTCACGTCACTAACCACCACTGTCACTAACCACCACTGCCACTAACCACCACTGTCACTAACCACCACTGTCACGTCACTAACCACCACTGTCACGTCACTAACCACCACTGCCACTAACCACCACTGTCACTAACCACCACTGTCACGTCACTAACCACCACTGCCACTAACCACCACTGTCACTAACCACCACTGTCACGTCACTAACCACCACTGTCACGTCACTAACCACCACTGCCACTAACCTCCACTGTCACGTCACTAACCACCACTGCCACTAACCACCACTGTCACGTCACTAACCACCACTGTCACGTCACTAACCACCACTGTCACTAACCACCACTGCCACTAACCACCACTGTCACTAACCACCACTGTCACGTCACTAACCACCACTGTCACGTCACTAACCACCACTGCCACTAACCACCACTGTCACTAACCACCACTGTCACGTCACTAACCACCACTGCCACTAACCACCACTGTCACTAGCCACCACTGTCACGTCACTAACCACCACTGTCACTAACCACCACTGTCACTAACCACCACTGCCACTAACCACCACTGCCACTAACCACCACTGCCACTAACCACCACTGCCACTAACCACCACTGTCACTAACCACCATTGCCACTAACCACCACTGTCACTAATCACCACTGAACACGTCTAGAAAATCGCGTGGGACATAAAATTCTTTGAAAGCGAGTGAAAATGGAATGCTACCTAGAGAGAGAAAGAAAGTTGAGGCTACCCAGAGTGAGAGAGCTACCCATAGTGAGAGAGCTACCCCACGGGTCGCCCACGATGGATCGATGGGTGTGTCAGCGTCTGCTACAGTGGTGTTCCTAGCGCGCGTCCCGACCAGTCAAATATTAAAATTGCAGTTATTTGCTTAATGTAATTGGTTTTCATCTGATCTGTCTAAAGACGGCCGGCCTGTCTGTGTGCTGGCAACTCTCTCTAACACTTGCTAGAGCCCTCGTCTAGTGGCATCACATGCAGGCACACACAGGTGAGTTGCAGGCATTTTCTCTGGCGTGTTGATGGTGACACATTTTCTCTGGATAGTGACGTGTTGATGGTGACACATTTTCTCTGGATAGTGACGTGTTGATGGTGACACATTTTCTCTGGATAGTGACGTGTTGATGGTGACACATTTTCTCTTTACACGGGCGTGTTGATGGTGACACATTTTCTCTGGATAGTGACGTGTTGATGGTGACACATTTTCTCTTTACACGGGCGTGTTGATGGTGACACATTTTCTCTGGATAGTGACGTGTTGATGGTGACACATTTTCTCTGGCGTGTTGATGGTGACACATTTTCTCTGGATAGTGACGTGTTGATGGTGACACATTTCCTCTGGATAGTGACGTGTTGATGGTGACACATTTCCTCTGGATAGTGACGTGTTGATGATGACACATTTTCTCTGGATAGTGACCTATGGATTGTGACACATTTTCTCTGGATAATTAAATGTGGATGGTAAACTTCCGCAAGGTGAGACGGCTCTTGTAATATTTTTGCTTTGGACTAGACAAATGTTACACACGATAGTTGAGGAAATCTGGCACAAGTTTATGGGACACAAGTTGAGGAAATCTGGCACAAGTTTATGGGACACAAGTTGAGGAAATCTGGCACAAGTTTATGGGACATAAGTTGAGGAAATCTGGCACACGTTTATGGGACATAAGTTGAGGAAATCTGGCACAAGTTTATGGGACACGAGGAAATCTGGCACAAGTTTACGGGACACGAGGAAATCTGGCACAAGTTTATGGGACACAAGGAAATCTGGC